TTACAGGGATCTGAAATCCCAGCCCAGATCATCCCTGCATTACAGGGATCTGAAATCCCAGCCCAGATCATCCCTGCATTACAGGGATCTGAGATCCCAGCCCAGATCACCCCTGCTCCGTGGGGATATAATTCCCCAGGCCAAATCCAGGTTTTCCTTGACAGTCTTCCCTTCCAAAGCTGTGGAGGGATTCCTCCTTCCAAGAACGGGCTGGTGGGATCTCTCCATGGGGGTGACCAGGTCCTGCTTCCCACGCCCCTTTCCCTGCGATCCCTTTATTTTTGGGTGTTGCTCCTTCCATATCCCACATGGGCTTCTCTGTGCCCTCCAGGGGTTTCCTTTTCCCAGGGATCCACCTCTGGAAGCCACAGTTCCCTCACTTAGCCTCCCTCTGCAGGAGCAGGGAATGTGTCCCTTTACTCATTCCTTACTCCACCTTCACTTCCATCCGTTCTCCTGCTCCCTGCTTGCCTCGGGCTGTGTGGATATGCCGAGCAGTACCGGGATCTGACAGGTTTTCCCGTTTTCCAGGCCTTATCCAGCAGCGTGAGCACCTCCAAGCTGTTTTCCAGCAGCACCGCTCCGCACGAAACGTCCTTCGGAGAGGAGGTGGAAGTTCACAACCTGCTCATCATAGACCAGCACACCTTCGAAGGTACCTGGCCCATCCCAAAATCCAGCTTCTCCCACCTGGAAAACCCCACGGTCGAGGCTGGTGATCCTCAAAACCTCTGCAAATCCGGGATTTTGGGTGTTCCTGGGGGAACATCAGCCACAAGGTTTAGGGAACGGCGTTGGCTGATGGTGGGAGAGCAGCAGAGGGAATGTCCGGGATGATCCCAAAGTTTCTCCTTTTCCCGCTTTTCGCCCAGTGCTCCACGCTCACCAATTCCTGCAGAACGAGTACGCCCTGAGCCTGGTGTCCTGTAAGCTGGGAAAGGATCCCAACACCTACTTCATTGTGGGCACTGCCATGGTGTATCCCGAGGAAGCCGAGCCCAAGCAGGGCCGGATCGTCGTCTTCCACTACTCCGATGGTAAGAAGGAGGGCTTCCCGCCTGGAAACATCCAGCTTTTTTGCTCGGATGAGCTCCTCACACCCTGGAGCAGGCAGAGCTTTTCCCAAGGGAAGTGCCCACAGATGGGATTTGTCCCAGTGTGTCCCCTTTCCCTCCATCTGCCGGAGAAGCCCAGGAATCCCTTCCCAGGCCTGGATCCCGGCATTTGCTTCCACATCTCCTGGAGAATCCCAGGAATCCCTCTCCAGCCCTGGAATATGGGACTTGCTTCCCAAGAATCCCTCCCCAGGCCTGGATTCTGGGATTTGCTTCCATATCATCCAGAGAAGCCCAGGAATCCCTCCTCAGCCCTGGATTCTGGGATTTGCTTCCATATCTCCTGGAGAAGCCTAGGAATCCCTCCCCAGGCCTGGATTCTGGGATTTGCTTCCCCATCTCCCAGGAATCCCTCCGCAGTCCTGGATTCTAGGATTTGCTTCCCCATCTCCCAGGAATCCCTCCCCAGTCCTGGATTCTGGGATTT